GAAAGTACATAGCAGTAAGATGAATCACAAACTTAAATATAGCACATCAAGAGGGGTCTTACATGACAAAATCATATATCCTAGCGCCCACCTTCAACTCTTCTTTCTGTTTCCTTTCGGCAGCTGAACCATTAGAAACTTCTTCCCCTTCGATGTAGCTCTCCCATAGCTGCAACAAAAGTATACATGTGATACCATTAATACAGCGGTAGAACAGCTGAAATAAAATATAGGTTCTGCTTCTCACCTTCAATTTCTGCCTTTTGGCAGACAGCTCAGCCTGCATAAGAAGGTGAGCATCGGGATCCTGTCAGCACCGAAGGAAGTTTGAAACTTCGCAAGTCCAGCTTCCAAATAGTATAACTGCCATATTGGTTTTGGGACTCCCATAACGATCCCAAGAAAGTTCCAGTTCTGTCGGCGGTTTTCTACTTCAATCTGAGCAAAAAAAGAAAGAAATCAGACAAATAATAGAGAATGGAAAGAACTGGAACCAGGATGATGGTTGCAAAAAGAATTGAACTACCTCAACATCCTCTATGCTATATCTTCCTTCTCATTAGAGCAATAGCTTCATCAGAATAAGGCTCGTCACGACCAGCAGGCATCTAACACCAGAGAATGAAAAGGCAATGCTGCATGTTTCTTCGGAATAAACAGCTTAAAACGATGACCACTGAGGACATATTCTACAACAGCAGGCATCCTCCTATTCCGCTGGAGAAGTATGAAAAAGTCTCTGGCTTTGGCTTGAAGGCTGAAGCTAAAACAGACATTAAATAAAAGAAAAGTAACTTTATGCTCTAGTCATTACAGTAAAGAAAAGCTGTCTTATTGCAGGATTTCTTACCGTTAACAGGTCAGTTATGTGCATTACTGGAGGATCCTTGGCAGAGTGGATACCTTTCTTCCCAGCAACGGCACGTGATTCAGCAGCAAGAAGGCCGTCATAGTAGTTTGATCTTTCCTCAAAATCTCGGTGTCTAATGACAGTAGCAAAGCCACGGCCAACCAACAGCTCGGCAACATTTAACCCAGCCTGCTGACTGCCTGCGGTGGGCAGAGCAGGTGAAGCATCATCACCATCTTTAACTGGAGACGTAAAGAAAACTGATCCAAAATCCATTACTCTGGAGTCCGCAGTGCTGACTGCAGCAGTAGGGCCATCAGCCAAGCTCACCTTCCTGGAATATTCCATTGAACTTGCACCTGAAAAATGTGGACTCAATAAACATTTGCTCTACCTTCAGAAATTATATGGATAAAAACACCATACATACATGGTGACCAATTAAGCGTGTTCGGAGGAATTCCTTTGCTTCCCGGGCATAGGGGGCAGGTTTTTCATCCCTACGAGGATTGCCTATTTTGGGCACCTGATACTTGAAAGGTTGACTCGCCGCTCTGCTAATGGACTTCCGAATGGTATAGAATCATCAGCTACAATGATGCAATCCCCACTTACAATCTCAACCACCTGGGCAAAGCCAAAAGTTAATGGCATCAAAAATTGACAGTATGAGAGAATTCAAGGGACAAAACCAATTTCAAATAGATATTTACGTCTACAAGTGACCAACCTTTCCTGTAAAATTCTGGTCATGGATTGCCTTCGAATTTGTAGGAGGAGGTACATAGTTCGTCCAAAACCTCAAGCGGTCCTTTTTTGCTTGAAGTTCAGCAGATTTCAGCTGCCGCTTGGCATCATCTTCCAGCAAGGTTGCACTCCACTCAACATATTTAGCTAAACCCTACAAGTATAGATGGGGGAGAAAAAGGACAAGTAGCTATGAGAATCGATTTCACAAAACTAGGATGATGAACATGTTAAAAATTCCAAGCTCAATGAAAGACAACTTGAGTAAAGAAATTTCAATGGCTTGGTAAATAGTGCTGCAGGCACTCAAAATTCACAAGAATGACCCAATAAGTTGCTGCATGTTGCAAGGAGATTGGCAAATGCATCACACTTACAAGAGCTCGGAGGGAAGAAAATAATGCAAACATTACGATATGCATTTCAAAAAGAAAACAAGAATAATATGATGTTACAGGATGATACTGAAATCTTTCTTCGAAGTTGTGTTTTTGATGATCATCCGTAAAAGATGTGTTTACTTTTCATGGAGCCCAGTTTGTATCTTAGTAGAAGGTGGGATTTTTTTTTTGGGGGGGCGGGTATAGTACATAACATAGCTCCATTTGGTCTTTAACTACAATGCAGCCAGACCCATTTAGTGAGAATTGATGGCTTTATTGAGTTTAATTGACAATGTTATCATAATCATAAACAGAAAAATATGTGAGAACTAAAATACAAACAATATGAAAAATTAGACAAGCTCAGCCTACCAGATCAAGGGGAAGATTATGTCAGTAAATCTATAAAATTCAAGCAATAGTAATTGATAACTGAATTTTTATCCAAATGCCTTACTCCTAAGATTCTTACACCACCATATGGTTAAACTAGGTTGGACACTCGAGAATCAGATGAGGAAATACAATAAAGCCTCAAAATGAATACTACATCCCTCTATCAACCTCAAAAATAATAACTCAACACTAGGGTAAAATTTCTAGACGCTTCTAGAATTGTCCTGCATTGACATACATTTTTGACAAGCTCCAATGCCAAGTCCTTTGCTGATTCACCATCAGGATAATATACTGAACCAATCAAATTGCTGAATTTGTCAACACCCTCCAGGACAATGCGCACCTGCAAATTACACCATAAATTAAGCCCATCTTAAGTAGATGCAGTATTCAAAGTCACTGCTAACAAAACATTACTTACATCTCTGTTTAATACGCGAATCTCTGTAAAAAGTTTAGCCTCCCTTCCATATGGATCAGGAGCAACTTCATTGAAGGATACTGATGAAGCTGCTAGCCTCTGCGCCGATGTTAAGGGGCCACGGGATCCTGCCGAAGATTCTCCATTAGTTTCGTCAGAGGTAATTTCAGCTTCAACAACAGTTTCCATTGCAGCCCTTCTTCCCATTGATGGAGCCTGGTTCAAAGATGAGAATAATTGATAGCCAACTGAATAAGACTAACAATTCACAAATAAGAAATACAGAGAAACTCTAGCAAATGAATTCAGATCAAGTAAAAGTCGAATACCTGGATTCCAGCAACAAACACTTGGACGAACTGAAATTCTGGAAGCAAATAAACCCGAATAGTGCTTCCATCACGAACCTGCTCAACGATAGCTTCCATGGGCCTACCTTTGTTTGAAGCTAAGAGGCCCATCGCATCCAAGTTACTAGGATCACCAACAGCAGATGGAGGTAGGTTCCTTATGGCATTTGCACTGGCCTCTGGTGCCTGAAACCAGAAGTAGAAAGACCTAGCACTATTATCTTACTTTACAATTACCTTTACAGAATACAGCCAGGGAGGTTAAACAATTCCAATAGCAGAGAAATATGAAGGCCATGGTTCAGCAAAAGATGAGTAATCGAGAACAATATAGAATAGGGCCAAAGGAATTCCAACTTTTTAGTTCACAATGACAATTTACAGCATAGCCAAAGGTTTACAACCTCGGTGCGCATAATAAGCGTATAGAGTAACCCCACATTCAGAATGAGAACCAAGCTCATTAGAGAACACCATTAGTTCTGCCCATCAGGCACAGGACATAACACACATTGGCCTTTTGTTTTGATGGACTAAATTTCTGTTCACCAAATATGCCTCCCAGAAACAGGGATTAATCCAATGATGACAATTTAGGAATAAATCCAAATTAATGACCATATAAGTAGCTAAGTAAAAAGGAATTTCTTCTTATAATCAGACGAGCACAACGTGTAACATATCAGCTTAAAGACAGTATAAGGATCTTGTGTGAACTTATAGTAAAACCAAGTAAGACCACCATATCCTCAACTCATTCCTATATGTAGCTCCTCAAAATCCCATCAGCTAACCCATCTTCTACACCCTTAAAGACAATAAAATCCAGCATCCACTCAAACCTTTTGGCCTCCCCAAAAACCTCTGATAATACCCCTCTCCACCACCCCCCAAAGAATATTAAATAAAATAAAAATACACACCAAGACAGAACAAAGAAAAGGAAAACAAAATTTACGATATGTTAATAGTGGTATCATAAGTGAGAATGAGGCAAAATAGAATTCTTCCTCATTGTACACTGTGGTCGTAAAAGAGCCACATCCTCATGATCATGCTTATTATTTTCAATAAATTATATTTATAAGGATCAAGATAAAAGAACAGAATAATATCAATAGCATGTTTTCATTTCTAAACTTTTTTCTTCCTTTTTTCCTTTTATCTTCTTAACAATTTTTTTTTGTTTTCACTCAGTTTCCTTATTTGACATTGTCTCCTGTACCAAAACATAGCTTAAAGGATTAGAAGTGCATACAAAGAAAAACCCTTTTCATCTGTAAACATTACTAACATAGTACACACAAAGGTGCCCATTAGAATGCCATATGCTCAATGAGGGAGAGAAGCACATGCGCACAATAACATAAGCTAAGCCAAAAAGCAGATGACAGCTACCCAGCCATTTTGTTGTGAGTTACAGCAGCGATATAAGAGAGAAGGGGGAAAGTGACACAGGGTTTAAGTCAATGTCAGGACTCAGAAGCATCTGCATTACTTATGCACCAAGATAAAGGGACTCCGGAGTAACTGTTAGAATCTTGTGGTGGACAGGATGGAATGCATTGACCTCACAAGTTCAATTGCTCTTCACAGCCATGCTCTCATAGTGAGCCCATAAATGCAGCCCTCTTCTTTTAGAATAAGTCTTTGCCACAAAGTTCTGAGCATAATTCGACAACAGGAAAATAACCTAATTACCTAAAGTAATTAAAGATAATGGAGCTCGAGTAGTTCAGACTTACCCTGCTCCAAAGACCTAGACCTTGTTGTTTGGCTTGATCTTCAAGCTGTTGCAATTCTGATAAGTAAGGACTAACTTCCCCTTTCCGTTGACCCTGGTCCCTGACCTGCAGCCTCCAGATTCAGCTAATGCTCAAAATAAACTGAAAACAAATGAAATATTGGCAACATATGTATAGGTAAAAAAGTGAATCGACCTTTGCCCAGCCGGCAGAGACAACCAGAACTGCTACATTCTTGTCATCACCAAGGAAAACGGAGCCAAATTCTCGCCCTATAGACGGTACAGTGTAATCCACTTTAAAAGTGACCTCCTGTTGAAAAATAAATTAATTGAGTAAGATTAGATGCACACATCTCAGTCATAATAGTGAACGGTACATGGCAAAAGAAACATGGAGCATTTAATTAGTGAGCACCTTCCCAATACAAAGCTTCCGTAAAAACTCTCTGCTCTCCCATGCAAATGCCTCATCAATACCACCTCTACGGGCCTGCATATGAACAGGGGAAGTGAGTAAACATGCAAGCCAAAAGCATGATTGAATATATCCCATAACTCAAAGCTACAATTCATGCAAGCAAAAGCTGAAATAGTTGGTTGCTTAAACCAGAAAATCAAATGGTCACATTAACTTTTAGAAATATGTAAGTTCATATCATAGGGCATCTCACTAGTCCATTAGAACTTATTTCTTATTAAGTTGATATTGTTTTGACTCTAGCTCTACAAAAAGTAACACTTGTGATAATCACAATGAGAGTTATTATTTATCCAAAAAGACAAAGACAATGACTATTATTAATTGATGAAAGGGAATCCATAATGAGGGTGAAGGCAAACAGATGACATAAGAGTCAGATGGGAAATAAAAAAAACTGTCGTAAACCTAAATTGTGAATTCTAAGCACTAACAACACAAATAATAAAGATACTGAGGACAAATAAATCACCAGCGACCTTTATGGGGAAAGAAAGGGTTCAGGTATAAGTGACTTCATGTACAATCCAGGTACAAGCTCACGCTTCAACAGGATTGAGAAAGACAGTAAGTTAAAAGATAAAGCTACTTATCTAAACTTGAAAAAAGTTAACAAGGTTACAATAGTATGACCGTATCTTTTGAACAAAGAAACAAAATTTCAAGAACGAATAATGCAAAATAATAATGAAGAACAAACATACAGAAGAAGGTGACACATAATATGACTTGACTACTTCTGTTTAAAGTAGACATACCAACTTCGGAGCAATAAGAGATGACAACGTAATAGTCTTTTCAGGGGGAATGGGGATGTTGGAATTGGTGTTCCCCATAATCACCAAACTATCTCCAGATGGAACAGATTTCACCCTTCCTCTCAACCATCTTCCAGCTGTTGACGCCATTTCAATAGCTAAAGATCTGCAGAAACATAAAATGATATCAATTCGTGCATCACAAGGCACCAAAAGTGTTCGATTAACGCAAAATTCCTGTGAAAGTCCCCTTTTAGTTATTTAGCAAAGAAACCAGCTTCACCACAAACAAATTACATCCCATCCATTGTAAGTTTCTCTAAGCATCTTTGAATGCCTGTTTCAGAGCTTTTTCATCGCTCATCCTCTAATTTTCTCTCGCTATACTAAGAGCATCCTTTTTTTACATTTTTTCCTTGATAAGTAGTAAGAGCATTCTGTGGTCACTTCCTTAGTTAATGCCCTCACAACATACCCAATCTCACAATTTTACCTTCATAACACACATTGTAGGTGCCACACACACTACCAATAGGATGATCTACAAACAATTTCTTCATCCAAAACCGTTGAACAAATAGGTCCTACACATGCAACCATGTGCACATACAAATCTATCAGAAAAAATGATTTAGCAGAAAAAGCTCGACTCTTTGATATTAAGGAATCCAATGAAAACATCAATTTGGTACAAAGAAAAGGATCAATGGAAGGTTAAAAAACAAGCCAAAATTGTAAGATACGTAAAATTAGGGATCCAAGCAATGGCTAATGCACCAAAAAAAGTAACTACAGTAAATTAAAGATAATCAGAGAATGGTAAACATGCAGCGCTACAGGGTAAAAAACAGTAAATTACACATTTTTAAAGAACTTGCAGATCTATAAATAAAAGACTCAAAAACATAAAAAATAACAACAGGTAACAACCATTACCAAATCCTACAAAACCATCACATCAAAGAAACCGTTACAATCGATGAAAGCTTTTAGTAGATAAAGTGCAATAATCTGTGCTGACTGTTTGAATAAATATATATATGAATGTAGAATACATAACGTGACAGAAGATTCAAGCGCACGCATATCTGTGATTGCAAATCTATCTAATGCAGCACTGGCATGATGGAATATATAATTCGAAAAGGAAAAACAAGAAGTTGAAGTCGATACATTCATGCATGCAGATATATACTAAAGAATACATGTAGAGAAAGAGATCTGAACACGATACCTGTATGTGATCTGTGCGCTTGTTTATAAAGATACGGAGAAGAAAAAATATCAAAATTCAATGCCTATACATACATCGATATGTGTGTGTGTGTATATATATATATATATATAAAGAGAGAGAGAGAGAGAGAGATTTTGAATCCAAGATGGATACCTTTATGATCAGTGCCTAAAACGGAGTAAACTGGATCGATCTGAGACGGAGAAGAAGAAAGACACCGAGATCAAATCGATCTGATAACGATTAGCCTACAAAATTCATGAAAACTGAGAGCAATGGAGAGTAATTTATGGATAGAATTGTGATTGAAGGGTGAGTTTCGAGGAGCTATGTCCGTGAAGGAGACGGACGGCGGAATCAGATAGAGAAAAACTCGAAATGGGAGGCTACTGGTGGGGTGTTACACATGACGTATATATAGTCGGGAAAGGAAGAGGTCAAGAAAACCTCCTTTTTGGGTAAAATTACCGGAAATGCCATAAATGGTTTGTTCTAATATCCATCCGTGACTCCAAATCTATCGAAAAATTTCATCTCCGTCTTTGTTGATCGGTAAACTGACAGTACTTGGACTGATAACGACAGAAGATGATAAAATTGCCGACCTTTGTTTTTTCGATGTTGTACTTCGGCTTAATTTACCCTCATAAACACTTTCACTAATTTTCGTTCGATCAAAAATAATTTATTTATGTCAAAATTAAAAAATTAATTAACTCTAAGGGATTACAAAGTTTTGAAATTAAAATATCTGAATTTATAATATATTTCTATCTTCATGAGATTGCTTGAATTTTTTTTTTTAGTAATAGTATTGCAAGGGATAGATTAATGAGGTTTAAATCCACATTTAAATTAACCACTAATCTTCGTTACAAGATTTAATTACTAGTCATGTTATGTTTATCAAATTATTTATTAAATTTTATATCATAAATCAGAGTGAATAATTTGATCAATAGGATCTATTAATTTTTATCAACTATTTAATGTACAAAATTTTGACACGTTATTTGCCATTGATCAGCAAATTTGGCAAGTATATTTTTATCATAAATTACCGACTTTAGTGACGGCAATAGTGTGATGAATCAGCTGGGCTAGCCAATCAGGTTGTGCCGTCTAGGCTGTGGTAAAACTTTTGTGCCGTGTCACCGCACACAGTTTCAAAAAACTTCTTTTTTTTAATAGGGCCCATTAAATTGTTAATCTATAGGATTATTTGAATTGGTGGTCCTTAAATTATTCATGTTAGCTCATTTTAGTCCTCAACATTTTAATTACATCAAATTAATTCTCAAAATATTTACTTTGATTTATTTTAACCCCAACCATAGACACCGTTTGCTTTTTGCCGTCTCCGTCTCCATGTGTTACTCACGTGAGGGGCAAATTAAATATTGCACATACCTAATCTGGGAGGAAAACATTCCTGCCAACTCCTCCATGCCCACATTATAGACTGTCCAACAGCCAAAGGAAACAAATGGAACATCTCAAACCAGAAAGAAGAAGAGAAGGGAGGAAAAAAGGGGGAGAGAAGGGAAGAAAAAAAAAACGTGAGGGATGAAATTCATATAATGGAGGCAACACCATGCTACAATAGGAGAATGGGCAAAATGCAGACTTATTGGACTACTACAAACCCAGGAATAAGCTTTATTGGGTGTAAGAGATATGGGGTAATCCTTATTTTTATTTCATTTGTTAGTTTTGTATGAACATTTGAAATTTTTTAACAAAGTATTGCATTGTTAGGAAGCTGGAGGCTGTGAATTTTTTGTTTGGTATGATCCTCTAATGTGTGATAGATCGAAGCGTATGATATCTAGACTTTTGCGATCTCTCCAAAGACACGATGACCAACAACGACTGTCAAAGAAGAAGGATAAAATCTTATGGGTTGCTCTGCTTTCTTCATGGACAATTTTCATTCTCACTTATGTGTTGTATTTCATGTAATTAGACTTTGTAAAGCTACAAACATGTGTAATAGAGCTGGAAACATGTGTACTAGGTTGATGTTCTCTATGTAATAAAGTTTAATTATGTATAAATATGACTTCTCTTTTGTAGAATGTTTAATTAGTGGAATGTGAAATGTTGATATTCCATGTAACTTTGAGTATAGATTTCAACATTCAATATACATGTGAAGCTTCTTGTTACACTTTCATAATTACTGTCAACCAAATTTTCATATTCACTGCATTCAGATTCAAGTTGGTACTCATCTGAGTCTGATGGTACCTCATCCCCTATGCCACTATTCTCAATTGGGTCATCACCATCAACAGGATGATTGTTTTTGCCTCTAAATGATCCAATCTGACTATCCACTAATTAAATACCTCCTATATGTTTAAAATATACCTGAGCTAGCCTATTTTATGCAAATGATGTGACATATTCAATACATGTTCATCACTACTTATATATACTAGCCCTTTGTCCAAATCCAAACCAGAAAGTTTGTAATAAAATCCAATATATGGAGTACAACCAAGGCTATTAGTTATATTATTCATTTCAATAAGTGACATCAATTTGCAATCATAGTCACCTATGTAGTCTATTTTGCCCCCAACATAAGCTTTGTTTGGATTCTTTGTAAATTCACCACTGTGGTAAATCTCCATTGAGAAAAGTGAAGAATCATTGTCTAATAGTTTCCAAAAACAAGTAAATGTAAAATTCATATTATAAAATTCAACAAACTCATAAATTATAAAATATAATATATAAAATTCATATTGCATAAACAAGTAGTTTCCAACAGCCACAAAAACTATAAAATTTTGCAAAAAAAAAAATTGTTTTGCATAAACAAATATGTTTGACAACATCAAGACCTTTTATATTCAGTTGAACTCATGAAACTGAAATCCAAAACTATAAAAATCAGTACATACTGTAATGGGGAACATCGTATGATCCACCCTGATTCCCTTTCTTCTTCCTAATGCAACGAACCATCTTTACACTGAATCACAATCAACAAAGATGTAGACGAAACTAATAACTCTTGTATTTTGCCCTGATCAGCACTGGTCATTTTGCCCTAAAAAGGAGTTCTCACAATTGTTGTTGTTGAAATGAAAGTGAAGAGCCAATTCATTACAGGCTTCGAATGGCTAAGCAGGCGAAGTATAGTGCAATGTTCAATTTGCCCCTCACGTGAATGGCACATGAAGATGGAGACGACAAAAAGCAAATGTCTATGGTTGGGACCAAAATAAATCAAAGTGAATACTTTGGGGACCAATTTGATGCAATTGAAATGTTAGGGCCAAAATGAGACAACATGAATAGTTTGGGGACCACTGGTGCAAATAATCCTAATTTATATTTATGTATTTTTTTTGCGTAAATCAATATTTATGTTGTTTGTAATTCAATAACTATTGTTTCTTTTGAACATACATTCGATAAATATTTTTTTTATTGCCAGAATTTAATAAATAGCTCAACATCAGCATTTTTTGTATGTATTTGCTTGTGTGTGTTTGTCAAAAAAGAAAAAATCTTGCCTTAGCTAAAACCATCAAAGGTTTAATATTTGCTTTATTTTTAGAAACCTTAATTGAAGATTGATCAGTACTATTGTGAGAAAATAAAAGCAAAAATAGAAAATTCCAAAAAAAGAAAATTAGAAAAAAAAAAAAATTCCCACAAAAAGAAGAAAAAGAAAATTAATACTCTGTAAATGTAGGAGGTTTTTTATGAAATTAAATTAGATTACTTGGTTAAACATATTCCCTATACCAATTACGACAATTGATTTGATTAAACTGACAATATGAATAAAGTTGGCAAATGAAATTGATAAACAAATATACTTTTTAAGGATCAAAATCAGAATCTGTGTATACTTTGAGGGTAAAAAATGCAAATTAAGTCTCAATTAAATAATATTCCCTCCTCTCAATCCACTTCCCAACGGTGCTTTATTAATTTTCTGGCCAACAATAATTGTTTTGGTATGGTGGTGGTTGAAATGAAACCGTAGGGCTAAGGGAGAGAGAGAGAGAGAGAGAGAGAGAGAGAATGCACGCACCCAAAACCAAGTCAAGACACCAATGCTGACGAGCCTGTAGTAGTCACCCATAGATAGGCGGCTCAAAACATGATACATCAAATTAAAGAATTTAAATTTTTTTTAATTTATTAATTTCATAAACGAGGAAACTCGACATGAAATTATAATAATCAAATTTAATATGAGTAAAATAAAATAAAAAAATATATAATACGACTTATTTATATTTCAATTGTACACGATTCATGTACGACATAAATTCAATATAACAGGATTAATTAATTAATTAATCAAGTATAAGTAGAATATTTTTTTATACGAACTTATCTTACCTGACTCGGTTGACAGACCTACTCATACATGTGTATCTCCCTTTTTCTTTTCTTTTTTTCTTGCCTTTGAACTTGTATATCTTGATAAAAAAAAAAAAAAACAACTTGTATAGCCTTGTCTTAATGTGCTACATTTTACATTTACCAAATTTAGAACATAAACATGTTTCTCCACTGACGGTAAAGAAACAAAAGCAGACATTCAAATTTCATCTGCATCAACAAATCTGGACTTAGTGATCCCGTTCTAGCTCAGATATCTTGGTATTATGGCAAACTATGGCAAACCGTTAAAGTGTCTAAGTCAGCTTACGTTAATCTCTCAATTTGGTCAAAAACAGTTCATCTACATTAAAATTATGAAATTCATGAGGGACAAATCCCTCGAGACCCCAATTTCAAGCTTATGATATTTAGATTTACAAATTTCAAGCTTATGATATTTAGATTTACAACTCATTTTTGTCTCCACTAGGCTAACTTGGGTTATTGCCCAGATATCTTGATCTCTAAGTAATATATGCCACAAATTTCAGGTTAAACTCCACCCTGGTGTGTTTCATTCACTTAGCTCATGGACAGTGGCTTCAGACAATGCGAGCCCTCTTGGACTCTGCTACTCAGTCCTCGAGCTGCTTTCAGTGGTATAACAACTGAATCACTAATACAGAAATTTAAGATCCGACCAGTATAAACTCTTCAGAAAGCAGCTAGAATGCGAATAAATCAATCCACAACATCTCTTAGGTAAAGTTTCAGTCAACTTTGATAAGGATTTGACTACAAAACAACAACAAGAGTTGTTTAATCATCTGAAGTGTTCTTTGTTTTACATTTTGTTCATGGACACAAAAAGCTATCGCAGATAAAAAAAAGACCTTTTTTTTTTGGAAGATTTCTCTTATGAAAGAAAAAGAAACACAACACATGTGAAGTGTGAGACTTCCTCACTCAAAAATAATCTCATTACACCTCAAATATCAGAACTTAACACTACCATGGAACGCAAAATAGACTAGATGTATTGTTATGCCTCAATATCAAAGCTCGTATGACCTTTTGCCCGAGGGTTAGGGACTGAGTCATTTGGCCCGAGGTCATCAATAGGTGGTCGTTGTTTATGATGATCAGTGACTGACTGATAAGCCATTGCCAGCGCTAAAGCCTGCACATAGAGGTAAGATTAAGAGAAGAAACCAAACACAGTAAATGGTCTAATATCTTTTTCCAGGGAACCACTTCACTGTATTTCTATAAGATAATAAGACTTAAAAACCAAGGTTTCCCATTTCCAACATTACAACTCGAAATTGTTCAACAATATAAAATTCATTGGTCAAAGAGGGATTGTCAATCTTATGGATGATGTTATTCAACATCCCCAACCAAAAGAAGTACAGAGGATAAGAGAAGAAAAAATCAGCAGCATATGGAGGTATCAGTTTGAAGGACAGCTTACAATGTGATCGTGTTCAGGAGGAGCATAAATTCCGGTGGTGATGGTTGTTCTTCTTCGAGTATCATTTGAGGGCGGATCCAATATTTTCTTAAATCCAGTCGGAACAACAATTACAGGCATGCCCACAAGATTGCCAATGCAAACTCTCTCCCAATCAGTTGCATTGCCAACAAATGCATCAACTTTAAAACTTGCTCTTACTTCCTGAATTAATTTTCCACGCGCTCGTTGTGCCTGTGGACAATCAGTTATTCTCTGTACTCAAGCAACAACTCAAATTAAATAAGGTCAGGGTTCTGCTTGCTATTTTCTCCATTGGTGGAAAAAAAATCGATATAATTGGTCTCAAAGACCTCACTCCCATCACTTCTTTCATTCCCTCAGTGGCTTAACTAGTAATGATTGTTACACCTCAACAAAGTCCTTCCTATAAATAACTAAAGCCTTAAGAAATATAAATGAGAATCGACTTGGCATTACACTAGAACTAGCACAGCAAAATGTCAATAAAGCCACTTGAAAATGTGAAATACACCTACATTTTGTTTTCCCTGTGAAAACTTCATCTGACACTAACACAACAAAAGATAAAGTCCCACACTTTTCAAGTAAGGACATGGCCAGTATATGATTGTCAAATATTGGCTTTTGGCACTTGATATCTTGTTTTTTTCTTGAACCTGTGAAGTGTGAAGTAAAATGCATCAGGCATTGAAAGCCTCCGTCATGACTGGATATGAGAAAGTGCCATAATCAAATGAATTACACTGCTTATCAGAGTTGCCAAAATACAATACATTGGTAATATCTAAAGAGAGGATGAAGAACAGCATCTTCAAACCTATGACAAGAAACCATTTGAGTTCACAAAGACGATGCAGGTATTATTGAATAGAACTAGTGTAGAGATAATTTGCTTAAGCTAATCATAGCTAAGAGCCCTATAGAAATTTTATAACAAAGGATGGTTCAGGTGATAACCTTTGACAGTTCAATTTCTGCTCTAGATTAGAATTTCGTCAAATATCAAGAACTCCTAAGGTTCTAACTTTTGAAGTCAACAGAACACTATATAAAAAGTAGAACTCACTTGGAGAATCTTATATTCAAATAACACGAGGTGACTCTTAGCTCTTTATCTATATTGCTAGGATCTCAAGAGTTATTTTTCGGTATTATAATTAGACACATATCATAACATCCAACTTAATCCCCATAATGAGGATCGATCTGGGTTAATAATAGACTGGGAATAGAGTATAGACCTAATATTTGACACTAAAAAGATAAAAGGAGCCCATGGTAGAGCAAGCTCCCGTCCGTGCAATAGTAATTGGACTGACAATGAGATACCTGAATGTAGTCCACTGCAGGTATCACACGTGCACGACGAAGTTCAAGAGGCCATTGATCTTGAGCTTCATACTCATCATCAAGCCCAGAGCGCTGCCACTCATCGAAGTGAGCCAACATATCAACATCCATTGTAAAATTTAAGATACCTTGAGCAGATTCCACAGTATAATTCAATTTGAATGGAATCATATTAACACCCTTTGATTGAAGCACATGGACAACCTGTCATTGCCGTCACAAGAAAGATGAACTATTAGTCCCCTACCAATTCTAGAATCAGTTAGATAAGTCATTTAAAATATTCTGACTCAGGTCAACGAATGCTGAGTTTCTAAACCCCAATCATGAAATTTTAGTGCAGTTTGTGAGAGATTCACTTACCTCCATTTCAGCATCGTCAATATAACCGACAGTTAGCTTTGTTATGTCCACCGAAAATGGATCAAGTAAGTTAATGTCTCTTGATGAAATATCATCTGGATCCTTTCCTCGAATGGCATCCAGAACAATTGTGCAGTCAGCAGCACTTCTACAGAAAGGGCCAAGCTTATCCTGTTAAAGGTTTAAATTCCACAATTATAGAAAATCAAATTAAAAAAAAGGGTATAATACAAATCAAGTCCAGTTACTACCAAGCTATCGGACAAGCTCAATACACCGGTTCGACCAACAGTACCAAAAGTTGGGCACAATGCGGTAACACCACAACGAGCAGCAGGATAAGTGATGGACCCAGCCGTTTCTGAACCAATTGCAAATGGAACCATACCTGTTACAAAACAGAACATTTGCATAGTTCAGCCAATAATTTGTTCCAACCAGCTTGATAAAAGCACAATGAATAGATCGACAGAGAGAGAGATTTCCAAGAATCAATGGAATTCCAACATCAACAATAATCTGCCTATTACACAAGTCTAGTGTTTTCTGTTTTGGGTAACTACAACCCTAGTATTTAAGGCAACTCAAGAAGATAAAAATCAATCCAAATATGAGAACAACATCATATTCTGAAATGAAAACATTCAAATCCGTGAATTAAGAAAAAGGATTAATCCCCAACTGGTAAAATCAAGGATCGAAATTTCGTTTCGAAGTACCGTTTCGGTCAGCTCAAAAATGAAAACGTTTCGGAAACGCAATGGAAACGCAAAAAAAATATGGAAACGCATAGAAACACAAATACAATCCATTAATTTATAAAGATATGCTAAATAATTGATTAATTCAACATATTTATTGAGTTAACATCTATTTATACAAGAATAAATTTAAATTTGAGGGAAAAAAAGACTTGACATGAGGCGAAAGTCACTTAAATTAGTTTCAAACACTTAATTTTTATGAAATAAACACATTTTTACATAATATTAAGGTCTTATAATACATATGAAATGCTAATGAGTACATACTTACATGGCTACATCCATCCCCCTGTAGAGTGTCGAGCAGGCTCATACATCGGTGTAGGCTCTGGGTAACTACTTAGAGAAACTCCATATGTGACATAAATATAATGACAATAGTTACTCCAACTCATATTATTACGGTAATATTATCAAATTAATAATACTATTTTATTATAATACTAATAATGAAGGGTATCAAATTAAATTAATGGTACTTATGTATACTTAAAAATTAAATGTAATTGCAGTGGGTATTAAATGTAATTACAGTGGGTATTAAATGTAATTGTTAATAATTATAACCAAAAAAAAAAAGCAAAAGACTTGCATAGCAATGGGGTATTAAATATAATTACAGTAAGGTATTAAGTGTAATTATTTATTCTTATAACAAAAAAATTATAAAAGACAGAAGAGCAGTGGGAATTAAATGTAATTATAATGGGGTTTTAAATATAATTATAGTGGGTATTAAATGTAATTACCGTGGGTATTAAATGTAATTATTCATAGTGAACCGAATATACCGAAACGGTCCGAAACAGTGCCGTTTCAACCGAAACACTGGAATTTTGTGATTCAACTACTGTTTCGTTTCGGAGTGTTGAAATTCCGAAACGTTTCGGACGTGTCGACACGACATTTTGATCCTTGGGTAAAATCAATACCTAAACACTGGGATACGCCCAACCCAAAGATGTATTCAAACCTACTGCTTGTGGGTCCCATCCCAATCTCCATTGCTGTTATCAAGCCAATCCACCACATATTTGTGTTATGGTTGAAGGAAACAATTTCATGAGATGTCTTTATTCCCTCAACATTAAACAAATAATTACCAACCATAGCATACACAGATCTAATGCATCAGATGATAATAATTGTTGATTATGCAATAATTCTAGAATATATAATACCTGCTGAGGTACAGGCAGCAGGGCCAGCTGACGAACCAGTAGAATATTCCTCAATATTCCATGGGTTCCTAGTCCTACCCCCAAACCAGATATCATCATATGCCAATGATCCAGTAACTAGCTTTGCAACAAGAACTGCCCCAGCATACTTCAACCTGTTTTGAGTGGAGTTACAAACCCCAAAAGCTACATATAAATTGATTTCATTTTTGACAGAATTCTCTTCATATTCCAATGTGTTCAATACCTCTTGTAAACCCAGGCTTCAATTTCGAGAACTTGATCTTTGAATGATTTTGAACCCCAAGTTGTTTTGTATTTGGGTACAGCTATTATGTCCTTCAATCCATATGGAATACCATGAAGGGGACCTATACAAGTGCAATTGGAATACAGAATCAAGTTTGTAACCAAATATACAGATGCAATCTATAAACAAGGGTGGGTGGGGGGAATTAGGGGTTCAACAATAACTGGAAAGTCTACTATATGGAGAAAAACTTGATGTCGGGCAGATTGAGCAAAGCCTTTGTACATAATCAAAGCTTGGCAAGCCAATCAGAATCTCAACTACTTGAAAACCTTTATCAATCCCCTTGGCAATTCAATCAAATGTGCTCGTACTCTGATGTTTGATTTTTTTTTTCTTTGTTTGTTTAAAACCACTCTTGGAATACCTAAGCAGTTTCTTACACCAGTTGAACGACATTTTAACCTGTATTTTCTTCTAACACCATGGTAATTAAACACTGAAGTGTCATTTCATGGTAACTTCAATTTCTGAATTAATAGACAATATATTGAGAATCATTTGTTAGTGTTCTGATTATTCCGAAAAAGAGGTTATTACTCTGATCAATTCTGATATTAACAGAATGTAAAAGTACCTAGATATACGCCTTTGGCAAGCAGTTGATCAGCCTCTTTTGCCTGTTTGTATGCCAATTCTTCAGTGAAAGTGACCACAGATTCAAGCACCGGATTGTACCTGAGGGTTTCCCCAATGCACCATTAGAATGAGAACATGAATGGTGTGAAGTCAGAGACACCTAATCAAGACGGATCTAGGAATTTATTAAAATTTTTGAACCATTCAAAGGGATGAGGCTAAATAATTTGAGGGTATTCATAGCTAATAGTGCAATGATAAAAGGGATTTTCCAAACTTCGGGTTCACCCCACCAACCCTTATATCATTCCTTACACTTCAATGGAGTTGTGCCCAATCCTACCCAATGCTACCTGGATCGTGGGAGGCTATGGTACGTAGTACGGATTCGGGTATATGGTACGACACTTGTTTTGGTATGCAATACGATGGAGGTAGGTTTAGTTGGTACGGTATTTTGGGTCACAATTCGTGGAACTCTTATATAGATTGTTTTCACTACTATACACCATTATATATTATAGAACACATTCATAAACACTAAGTTAGTTATTATTTATCTTATAGTTGTACTTAATTTTCTATTATCTAAAAAAATATATAATTATAAATTTATATACATATAGTCAATTAATATGTATTTTATATTTGTGCTACGTGTTTTAAAGTGAATTGATTTAGGGTTAATATTACAATTTGAGGCTGTCCATTTTGGTGATTTGAATCGCGAACCCATCTTGTTTGGGATCGATATACTCAAATCGTGGGTCGTTAAGGATAACCATGATCCTACCTCTTTAGTCTCTTGAGAAATATTCCAACAAGCTCCTCAGAAGTGATCTGTTTTGTCTTAATGAGATGCCCCAATTCAAGAATCTGATTCAGCAACAGTAAATTTTTTTAAAACAAGAAAGATAACAGAAGCACATGAGATTTCATAACCTCCACCTGAAATCAGTATAGATTTATAATGGCAGTGATGAACTTACACTCATGAAGGCAATATCTTCTTCACTTTTTGGCCGCTGAACACCAGAAACAGAAGGGTAACTGAATGTTTTGCTTGTAAGTTGTGTCTTTTCATGGCTCCACTCAGGATTGAATACCAAATGAGAAGGGTTATGTAACCCACCATTAACAGAAGCAATTAGTTTTCGATTGGCTCTGATTATAGGAATACTTAACTCCTTTGCACCCTTCTCAATCTCCAGCATCTAAGAGGAATGAAAATGTTAAAAAGACACATAAAATTGACATCCTCCACCTCCAAACATCAATTTTACAAGCCAAACTGACCAACCTTAGAGTCATTGAAAAAGCCCGCATCCAATAACTCGAACCCACTTTGAAGTCGACACACATGACTAATATTTTCAGGCCATTCACTATGATTTTTGGACTCAAATTTCCCACTGCCCTTGTCACACTCCATCCCGAGAGACCTATTTGGTATCCCAAAAATATTAGTATAACTTGACACGTGGCAATACCTGCACTAGTAATACAAGAATGCATTTAAAATCGATATTGCCACCTAACAACTCCATAAAATAGGTAAACTATATAACAGAGTATACAACAATGTAATCAACTTAAACTAACACAAAACATTAGGGAATTCATCCCTTACATCAACAAGTAAATAAACACTCTTGTACAATATGTACACAACCAGTTTCTTGAATTTTTCATCTCGACTCTGTTAGTGTTGTAGTGGACCAAACTCTAAACTTCAACTCCGTGAAATCAAATATTTTCTCAATATAGTACGCATCATAATAAATGAAAATATAAAAAAATATGAATCAAATATCTTTTCATCAGAATATGTTCACCACGTGAGGAGAACAACAAATAAGTCAATGTATTCTTAACCCACTTTAAAACTCAAATCAACATCATATATCAATATAATAAATATTTCACAGATCCCAAAAGTCAACAACAACATTTAAGCAATTTCAACCTATCAATAACATTTAAGCATTGTTAACCTATCAATAACATTTAAGCAATTTCAAGCTATCAATAACATTTAAGAAATATCAAACCATCTCACGACAACTGCACAGTGTCCAGATTAACAACATGTAAACCATGTCACACTATCCAACAACTTTGACACAGTGAATACTACTCAAATTATCAGTTTTTCAACAAAATATATTTGATCAATTATTTGCTCAACTCAACACAAATCATCAAAACTTTATTTCACAAAGTGAAAAATAATTCATATGTCATATACTTTTATTTTCAGTTATTATGAAGTAATACATTTCATCTGTCACAACCAACCAACACATCACTTAACTTTATGCTCAATCCCTAAGTGAAATTGATATAATATCTTCTGAACCTAACACAAATCATATAACCATACACAATGAGTTTCAACTCAAAAAAACTCAACGAATGCAAATGTATGAATATCAGCATAGTTCATTTTAAATTTTGTTCGTTCTGTTTCAACTCGACTTAGATCAAAACAAAATCCAATCACATGGCTTATTTTCATAATAACTCAACATGAAACCAAATGAGTTAGAAAGTACACTTCTTAAGGTTTCTAACTATAGGTCATAAGTTCAAAACAACCTCCCATACACCATGTTATGATTATTTTTCAACAAGTTATCAAATTCGATATGTGGACTATTTTTAGCTATCTTTAAACTAAAAATTGAATTTATAAGTGAACAATATGATGTTCTAAGATATACCATTGGAAAGATCTCTGAGTGTAGTTTCCAACAAAATTGACGGTGCATCAATTTGAATTTTCTATAAAAAGTTATGCCTGTTTTACTAAAGAGTATCAAAGTTGTCCAATACCCCTCATATCCGAATTTTTTAATATTTTATTTTTTTGATCCAAACAATTCAATTTATTTCATACCACATTCAACTCAAATAAATTTAGGTCACTTAAACCACATTTTTACTCATTCGGTTCACTTAAACATTTCTTCGAATATTTACATGCATTAAAGTAACACAAGAACTGATCACTCAAGTTAATTAAAACAAGCTTCTATCCGTACTAAAATAACAAGAACTCAAATTAATCATAAAGTAGACTTCCGAAGTATTCTAACCATAAGTCATGAGCTAAAATTAAAGTTTCATGTGAAGAATAATGCTCACTTTTTTAGAAGGGTATTACGCTGATTGTTTGTCATTGATCACAAAATTTCACTCGACTTTACATAGATGTCAGTTTTCACACAAATAAAATTAGGCTCTGGACTATATTTGGATAGAAACATCTATGAGTCTATCTAGATAATAAAGTAGAACGATTTTGAATTCAAGAGACAAAGAGCGGCTCAGATTATTTCAAGATCAAAAAAGGCATCATCCAACGGCCGAAGATGTTTCAAATTGTCTCAAGCTATTGACGTCTCAGATCGTTTCGATCCGACGTACCATATTAGCTCTTTAAATTTTTTGCTGCTCAAAACCTTTAGTTTCCAAAACTAACATCCCTAAATTTAATTCCCCAACCCAATCAAATCCAGCAATTAAGCGATCTCTCATTCCTCAACTCTGTCTCTCTCTCCCTAAAATACAGATTACAACTCTTATCATTATTTCCCTGATTTTATTTCCTATGTTAAGGGATCATTTTCTATACTAAGACATTGACTATCTCTCACACTCTCATCTTTCATGATTCTCTTTCCAAACTGAGACACATGTCTCCCCAAAATTCTATCCTAATGCAGCTACTCTTCATTTTTACTGTTCATATCACACACACATCTTTACTGTACATATATATAATACAAAAATAGAAGACATACTATATCTACATGTTATATTTAGAAAAAATTTTATCTATACACTATGTAGTTGAGTATAAATTCAATGACAACCCCCGTAATAATAACTTTTGTCTCTATCAATAGATAAAATAACGATTTAACTAAATATTTTGTGAAAATACTAAAATTACCCTTTATTATGTAAATAAACTAAAATATCATCAATTTTTTCCCCATTATATATGCGCTAACGAACCAACAAACATAATTTCAATAATTATATTATCCCAGTAAATTTTTTATTTTAAAACGTTGTATTATAACTTTGTTATAATATTAGTCATCATATTATCACTCATTTGGTTACATAATCAAGTTTTTATAATTTTTATATTTTTTAATCATAATAATTTTTATAGTTAAAAATAATTTTTCTATAATAAAAATTACAATCGATAAAGTCAATGTCAAAATCTCATCCATTTCTAATTCCTCGGTTATCATATGTCCTCCACAACGTCGCCCGACCGCTAATCACACACCATACTTCGTATATAAAATTTAAGATATTTCATTCCTAACAATTGAAAAGAATACTTAAATCCATTCTAGAGATGAAATAACAACTCCAAATATAAACTTTAAGAGTTGAAAGGAAATCTCTTACCACACAAATATGTATTCTTCACCACCACAAAAAGGAAGCCCCAAGCTTAATTGCAAGATACCAAAATCAAAAATACAAAGCAAGACTTAATTTTTGAGAAAGGAAAACAAGGGTTTGAGAAAAGAGGGCAACCATGGATGCTTAAAGAAGAGAGCAGCTGATATAGATATCAGCCCTCAAAGTTAATGCTGTTAATCTTGCTCCCCCAACTTTCAAGTGTTACAATTTGGCCCTCATATTATTAAAATAAAAATTATGATAACCCCCAATAAATTTCAAGCCTTCACTCCTCTAGTGTTAATAAGAAATTGAACAAGATATGATGAGACTTTACCCGATCCCATCAGGTATAACTCTCAGAAATTTTTAATAATTATACTTGCATCCCCATAACTTTCCGACACAACATTTCCCCAAATTTTTTACAAGTATTCACCTGTTTTACAACAGTCAGTGTTCTTCCACCAAAAATTACACTCAACTTAATGAACATGGTTTTCCTTCTCCGCTGCTTAGTTTAGATAACTAGTAATGCGATTGAAAAAGTGACTCAAACTTCATATTCAATTTAAAAACAAATGAGAGAGAGAGATCACCACATTTCCGTTACTTCTGGCGAGGTGGAGGTGGGACGGTGGTTGGTGGAAGGAGTGGCTATTGAGAATACAAGTACTAACACGTAGGAGAAGAGCCATAAGCGTGGCAATTGAATTGGCTTTGAAGGACACATGGGTAGCCGATTTGGTCGCTACTTTGAAGGAGAAGAGACGTCCTTCTGTATTCTTCTGTCCGTTGCAGTCTCTCTTTTTTCCAAGTCCCGGCTGACACACTGATACTGGGGCTTTATCCGTCTACGATTGATTGCCTGAGATGTCACGTTGACTTTGATTAACGCGTTTACTAATGCTAAGCGAGAAGGACCGCTATTCAGTTCCAAAAAAATAAAAAAAGGGTAATTTTCACGCACCCTTGTACTTAGGTGATATTTCGCGTCCCTCCTGGGTATAAAAAGTTGGTACAGAAAAATAGTGCGTGGGTTATATTTTATATCTTGTTTGTTTGATATTTTTATTTAGTACTAATTTTTGAGTCATAGTATTAATTCAGTATGAACAATAACTCTTATGTCTTATATATGGTGGTAAGTAATACCACCTATCCAGTGGTATAATATTCTCGGTATTAATTTTATGGAGGTATAATAGAGTAAAAAGACTCAAATATCCCTCATGTACAATGTCCCATATAAAATTATAAGGTTACAATTGTCTTTTTACATTGAGTAGTTGTAATTTTTGATTTTTTTAAATAAGTATTACATAGATAATATTTATGACAAACAAACAAGGGAAAAAATGAGATTATAGTTTAAGATCGGGTATAATATATCATTGAATCAGAGTGGGATACATATAAAACCTTACACCACCTAAATCTTATACCTCAATCAAACAGCCCCCAGTGTTTAAAATATCAGTGCATACCTCTATCAGATTTTGTTCGCTAATGACAAGAACGAAGAATGTGATTTTACGTAATTACTAGAACTATCATTTTATAGGTGTTATTGAAATTTACTCTTTTATTTTTTAATTTTTTTATTTTTACCATATGTTATGCCCTAACTAATTATGGTCACAAACTATTTTTCACCAAAAGAGTTTATATGTCCATTTCACAGACTATCATTATTAAAATAATTATATAAAATTAAATTAAATTAATATTTAATTTCATTAAATCAACACTAAATTAATTTTTAATTTTATAAAATTATTACTCGATTTTATCAAATAAACATTTAATTTTATTCAATTGATATTCACTTTTATCACATTAACACCAAATCAATGCTACATTTTATCACATTAGCACCAAATTTGTCTTCAATTTCGTCATCAAAATTAATGTTTAAATTCATAAAATTAATATTTAATCAAATTAGTGCCAAATTAATTCAATTTCATCAATTTAACATTTACTTTTATCAAATTGATATTAATATTTATTAAATTAATATTTAATTTGATCAAATTAACCATCAATTTTATCAATT